TCTTGAGGCAATACTGTAGCAAAGGCACTGGTTCCTGAAGGATCTCTGTGAAGTGGGCATGAGGTGAAGATAAAGAGGCATCCTAGTTAGTTTCCGTGAAGCAGTCAGGAGGCAAGTCTGGGGCCAGTGCAAGTCAGTTGAGAGTCTTTACCTTTCCATGGGAGCTGGGTTTTTACCAGAGATTTGTCTGAGGGTGCACACGAGAGAGAGTAATGGGTATAATAAGAGAGGGGTGAGAGAGATTGTCGGTCTGTGTAGGTTCCGGGTAGGTAACGCGGGTTTGTTTTCCATAGGAAGGAGAGCAGCAGTTCTCAGGAAAGGAGCCAATCAGGTTCAGCGTGGTCCATAAGAAGGTAGAAGGGATAAGTTAATCATGGAGACTAAATCAGAGCACACCGTGGATTTAAATAGCACACATGGTTCCAGAATAATATTGTGTTATTGTATTGTATTATCATCCACTTCCTCTTTCTTTGCTGCTGGCTCCAGCTGAGCACCTTCTATCACTGAGCTCGATCTGCTCTGATTATTACATTGATTTATTGTGATTATTTGTGTTCTGTTAATTGTATTAGAAAGGGGGGTTTATGCTGGGGTGTCTGCTGTACTTTTTCTGATTTTAAAGTTTGTTTTTGCCTGGTTGGGCCTCTGCTTTGTCACGATCGCTGGCATCTTTTTTTTTTTTTTTTCAGCTCAGCAATCGTGGCACGCTTCCCCCCCCTTTTTCCCCTCGTCTATTTGTGGGGTGTCCTGGTGCTCTCATACCAACTGTTTCCACAGTTTCAGTTGCATGGTTGGTGCAACCCGGCCATGTGTCAGGCCGCTTCCTAATGCAACGACACCGTGGATGCCTTCTTGACCGCATCAATGCTCTCAATGGAGGTCCTCATGATCAGACCTTGCTGTGATGCCGGCACCTGTGAGGGTCAGGTTGGTAATCTTACCTCTACCTTTCCCCTCCACCTCTATGGCCACCGGACCACCTGAAGCATTCTGACAATTGGGACCTAGATCCTTAAAAGTCTATTCTGCTGGTGGAGCTGCCCTGCTGCTGACCAGCTCTGAAGGAAAAATGTTCCTCAGAATGGAAGACCTTGCTTATTTAGGCACGTGTAGACGGAGACTACAGTCCTTCTCCAAAGGACAATGGAGCCAATAACGCAGAAACTCTGCAATGTGACTAGGCAGGACCCATTCTGAGGGAATGGCAGTGTTGTATAGCCTGTGGGTCAAACAACAGTTCACCAGTTCATCTCCACTGGGTCGTTAGGCGGCTAGGCCGACATGGAGGCACGTTCAGCGCAGGAGTCACCCATCACCATCTCACCGACACAACTGGAACTGAGAAAAACAGAAATATCCAGGCACTTGAGGTTTCTTCTAAAAGGCAGTCTTTATTTGACACAACGAACTGAAGACAACAACATTTCAGCTCTTGCTGAGTAGTGATGTCGCGAACCCGAAATTTTCGGTTCGCGAACGGCGAACGCGAACTTCCGCAAATGTTCGCGAACCGGCGAACCGCCCGAAACGCCATTGACTTCAATGGGGAGGCGAATTTTAAAACACACAGGGACTCTTTCTGGCCACAATAGGGATGGAAAAGTTGTTTCAAGGGGACTAACACCTGGACTGTGGCATGCCGGAGGGGGATCCATGGCAAAACTCCCATGGAAAATTACACAGTTGATACAGAGTCTGGTTTTAATCCATAAAGGGCAGAAATCACCTAACATTCCTAAATCACAATCAATATGGATTGACACCTGACATATGACATATTGACACCTTGACATATGGATTGACACCTGTCCTCAGAGCCCCTGATGCACACGGACACAGAGCAGAATAGAGACTGGTCCCCCTACATAGGGTCACTTGGCAGATATGGATTGACACCTGTCCTAAGGATCCCTGATACACACTGACACAGAGCAGAATAGGGACTGTTCCCCCTACATCGGGTCACTTGGCAGATATGGATTGACACCTTGTTACAAACTGCTATTTGTAACGGGCCCTTTAAATGGCAAATTGCCCTGTTTCCCTGGGTTGTGGAGAAGCCTCTTTGCCAGCCTCCTCCCGCATGACTATGGCCCCTGGGAGATTGTGAAAATGTATGCACTTTTATTTGGTGTGTATGGCCCTTTAAGACTGTCGGTGGGCATATTGGGGCTTATGGACTCTTTATGTGACTGGTGCTGGCCCTTTAAACACCTTTTTTGGGACATCAGGAAGATTGGGACACTGCCCCTTTAAGGCCGTGTCCCCAGACTTGTTGGGGACACAGCCCCTTTAAGACGGTGTCCCCTGTGTCCCCAGACCTGGTGCAAACCCTTTGTGCCTGCCTTGCTATTTCCCACTTGGTTCAGTAAATGGGAAATTATTTCAGCTGCAGAGACTAAGTCCCATTCGGCGATGGGACTTAGTCTTTTTTTCAGCCGTTTTTTTCAGCCTTATTTCAGCTGCAGAGACTAAGTCCCATTCGGCGATGGGACTTAGTCGTTTTTTCAGCCTGAAATAGACCGACCTCACAGCCCAAATCTATGGAACTGTTTTGGGCAGGAAAATGTGCTTGCAGTCGGTCATAAAGGGACCTCCAGCTAACTTTTTAACCCCTGGATGGATTTGGCTGATTTTTGGTTATGTTTATGTTTTAAGTGTGCTGATTCCAAATATGTAATTATGAAGATGGGATGTGTAGTTTTAAAGTTACAGGGTATGGCTAAAAACTGTATTTTTACTGCCTGTGTTTAATTATGTTAATCTCTTCCCAAACGTCATTTCGTTCAAAGTGGAGAGAATGTTAAAAAAATATATTTTTGTTCGGAGTGTGAGAAATGCTTTTCAGCCGCTTCTAATCTTAAGCATCATTTGAGGAGCCATACAGGAGAGAAACCCTATTTGTGGTGTGTTTAGTATTGTTCTGATCAGTTTAATACCTTCCGCGTCTCCTATCAGTGGACGTGTACACGCATTGATTTTTGTAACAGGGAGATGGAAGAAGAGGCTTGGTCGGTCCTCTTACTGCAAATTTGGGGCACTGCGCGGTCAAGCTAATGTGATACCAGATAGGAGTGGTGTGTTTAGTACTATTTTACTTTCAGTTTAATACCTTCCTTGCCTCCTATCAGTGGACGTGTACACGGTATCATTGATTTTGTAACAGGGAGATGGAAGAAGAGGCTTGGTCGGTCCTTCTCTACTGCAAATTAGCACCAAGTAGCGTCAAGCCAATGTGACACCACAGATAGGAGTGGAGTGTTTAGTACTATTTTTATCAGTTTAATACCTTCCGCGTCTCCTATCAGTGGTCCTGATACACACTGATACAGAGCAGGATAGGGACTGTTCCCCCAACATAGGGTCACTTGGCAGATATGGATTGACACCTGTGGACGTGTACACGGCATTGATTTTTGTAACAGGGAGATGGAAGAAGAGGCTTGGTCGGTCCTCTTACTGCAAATTTGGGGCACTGCGCGGTCAAGCTAATGTGACACCAGATAGGAGTGGAGTGTTTAGTACCATTTTTATCAGTTTAATACCTGTGTGAGAAATGCTTTTCAGCCGCTTCTAATCTTAAGCATCATTTGAGGAGCCATACAGGAGAGAAACCTTATTAGTGGTGTGTTTAGTATTGTTCTGATCAGTTTAATACCTTCCGCGTCTCCTATCAGTGGTCGAGTATATGGCAGCCATTTTAGGAACCGTACACCTGGGACCCGAGCAAGGTCACCTCGTTCAACAGGCGACAACATTTGTCCCTGGAAAACTATCCTGACATTCTGTACAATTTGTATGGATATGGCAGTGATTTCTGTAACAGGGAGATGGAAGAAGATGCTTGGTCGGTCCTCTTAATTCAAATTTGGGGCACTGCGCGGTCAAGCTAATGTGCCACCAGATAGGAGTGGTGTGTTTAGTATTGTTCTGATCAGTTTAATACCTTCCAAGGCTCTATCAGTGGTCGTGGTATTAATGCATTGATTTTGTACCAGGGAGATGGAAGAAGAGGCTTGGTCGGTCCTCTTACTGGGTAAATTTAAAATTTCAAGGTCATTAATGTGACACCAGATAGGAGTGTATGGTGTGTTTAGTACTATTTCTTATCAGTTTAATACCTTCCAAGGCTCCTATCAGTGGTCCTGATACACACTGACACAGAGCAGAATAGGGAATGTTAGCTCCCAACATCGGTCACTTGGCAGATATGGATTGACACCTGTCCTCAGAGCCCCTGATACACACTGACACAGATCAGAATAGGGAATGTTACCCCAACATAGGTTCACTTGGCAGATATGGATTGACACCTGTCCTAAGGATCCCTGATACACACTGATACACACCTACTTGAATGGTATAGACATTTTTAGCAGCTCCTGGCCCGAACACCTGACCCACATAGGAGCCGCAATAGACCGGATTAGGGAGTCCGGACTGACCCTAAAGCCCAGTAAGTGCCATATAGGAACGTGTAAAAACCTCCCCAAGATAGTAGTATGGGCCCCAGAATGTGAACAGGCCTTCCAACAGCTCAAGA